ACGCCCAACAAGCCATGCCCACAGAACCGGTAGCAAAAAAATTTGCATTTCACCACTGGTTCTGAAGCCGCAAGTTTCAGAGATTTTCCATCTTTATATAGGATAGCAACCCTCCTTAACCATCTAACCAATGGCTAGCACATTTTGGGGATGGTATTGGATTCATGGTTCCTGTTCAAGGAGCAAATGGCAGATGACTAGGAGAGTCTGCACAAATCTATTGTATAGGTAGTCCTCGAATTACAACAGTTCATTTAGCGACATAATGGCACTGAAAAAAGTGACATTTTTCACACAACCATTGCAGCAACCCCCCCATGATCATATGATCGAAATCCAGCTATTTGGCAACTGACTTATATTTATGACCATTTGCAGTGTCCCAGGGTCATATGATCTCCTTTTGCGACCTTTCAGACAAGCAAAGCCTGATTCACTCAAAAACCATGTTACTAACTTAAAAACTTCAGTGATTAACAACTGTGGCAAGAAAGGTCATAAAATGGGGCAAAACTCAATGTCTTGCTTAGCAATAGAAATTTTGGGCTCAGTTGTGGTCATAAGTTGAGGTCTACTTGTGCTTATTCCTGGATCAGGAGGAATTGTTCAGAAGGAACAATAAAGGACAAAATGATTGAGGAGAGCAGCAACCAGTGACTAGGGGAGAAGGACTATTCCTAGTACATTGCACAGTAGCAACTGTGAGCATTTAGCTACAGTACAATCCAACGAAGTACACCAAGTTAACTGGACAGCACCACTAGTGCTGATACATTAGAAAATACAAGAAAGATTTCATGAAGTGTACTTGCACTGGAGCAACCTGATGGTGCAAGTCAGTTTTTAGCCGGTGGTGCAGAATAATTATTCAACTGTGATTAGGAACAGCCAATCAGACTGGGAAATGACTGCATCCAACTTTATCCAGAAATTTAAATTACTTTAAATATTGTCTAAGTGAAAGTTCAGAGTTCTTGAATGAAGCTTTCTAAATTACCCAATTGTCTACTGGAGTTGGAAACAACGTGGTGGACTAAATGAACCACTGTTCTGTTTTGGAGTCTTTGGAGTCTATGAGTTGCCTTATAGGGGAGATGGGAGGCATAACTAGATTAGATGAGATAGATAGATGATAGATAGATAGATAGATAGATAGATAGATAGATAGATAGATAGACAGACAGACCAAGCGACCGACTGACAGATAGATATAGAGATGGATGATAGATAGACAGACAGACAGACATATATAGAGATGGATGATAGATAGATAGATAGATAGATAGATAGATAGATATAGATAGATAAATAATGAGATGGATGATAGATGATAGATATAGATGATAGAGAGATGTTAGAGAGATAGATATAAATAGATGATTGAGAGAAAGAGAGAGGAAAAGAGAGAGAGAGAGAGACAGATAGACAGATAGACAGACAATAGAGATCTGGCCATGTCTTTCTTTCTTTCTTTTTTATTAAAAAGTTTTACAAGACAAAAAACATTTTTACAAGAAAAACATAAACCGTTTGCCATCTTTCCATATATGAATTGTACAATCACATTTGCAAATTAACAACCTCTTTAAAAAGAAACAATTACGTAAACTCCAAAAACCTCTCCAGATTCTTTACACATGTTTTCCCTTCCCTCCTCCCCCCTCCTACCCCAACGCTCCCCCCCGCCCTGGACTTCCCAGAGCAAATACAGGATATAGCATCTAACAAACATATATATATATATAAAAAAGAAAGAAAGAAAGAAAAATTTAATTCCCCTTGTTCATATCTAAATATAATTATTTAAACCAATTATTATTTAAAAGTAGTGAATCCAACTTCTTTCTTATCCGTTCTTCAATAATAAGCAAGTCTTCTTTCTTCCAGCATTACGCAATCAAAACCCAGTTACAATTAACCATCACATCTCCAACCCTTACATATATTAACACATTGGCAAGATATTTTAACCAATCTCAAATAAAATATATTGTAAAAAACCTTATTTCTACTTTTTGCCCCACAAACTTATATTGATTCTGCCTGGAAACATTCCTAGCTTAATAACTTTATAGAAACTTATTCATCTTGTTCTCTACAAATCCATTACTCAAATAACATCTTCACTATTTAAAGTCTATAAAAAATATTATAAAAACCTTCCCTCAACCCTTGCACCATTTTTAACCCATAAGCTTATATAGATTCTTCAACAAAACATTCCTTAACATATGAGACTTGGCCATGTCTTAAGACAGCAGGCAGTCACCCTGGGAAATCACACACAAGTCACAAGATGTGACAGACATTTCCTTACCTCAGACGATTGCAAAATACCCTTACTCAAATATTCTTATTAGAAGTATCCCAAACAGGCATTCAAACAGAATAAAAAACTTATCCTTTGATGTCTGCGGTTGATTTGCATAACCTCTCTTGTTCTTGATGGGCTGCATGTTTTGTAGATTACACTTTTTCTTGACTCTTTGCCATTGGCATATTGCCCATTCTCCATATTTGAATTGAGTGTTGTATGTTAGGAATGTATATATGAATTGGATGATATGGTAATTTTTTATTAAGGCCATAAAGGCTAATCTAGTTCAGTGATAAAGGCTGAGAGCTAACTTATTGGTACTTAAATAAAGTTTTATTGTGCGGATTTATATTAAAGCACAGGTAAAGCCATAACATTACATTTCAAATCTCTATTAACTGGCTGTTTGTGAATATATGTTGTTTTATTTTGTGAAGCTGATTTGTTTTCTGGGTTACTCTAAAAAAAACCAAAGTAGGAAACGTTAAGAATACAGCAGAGGTGGGTTTCAGCAGGTTCTGACCAGTTCTGGAGAGCCGGTAGTGGAAATTTTGAGTAGTTCGGAGAACCGGTAGTAAAAATTCTGATTGGCCCTGCCCCCATCTATTTTCTGCCTCCCAAATCCCAGCTGATTGGGAGGAAATGGGGATTTTGCAGTAACCTTCCCCTGGATTGGGGAGGGAATGGAGATTTTATAGTATCCTTCCCCTAGAGTAGGGTGGGAATGGAGATTTTACAGTATCCTTCCTATGCCACACCCACCATGCCACGCCCACCAAACCATGCCACGCCCACCAAGCCACACCCACAGAACCGGTAGTAAAAAATTTTGAAACCCACCACTGGAATACAGGTAGTACTTGACTTACAACAGTTCATTTAATGATTTTTCGAAGTTACAACGGCACTCAAAAAAGTGACTTATGACCATTTTTCAAACTTACATGCATTGCAGCATCCCCATGGTCATGTGATCAAAATTTGGACCCTTGGCAACTGACTCATATTTATGAGAGTTGCAGGATCCTGGGGTCCTGTGATCCCCTTCTGACAAGCAAAGTCAATGGGGAAATCAGATTCACTTAACAGCCGTATTACTAACTTAACAACTGCAGTGATTCACTTAACATCTGTGGCAAGAAAGGTTGTAAGATGGGGCAAAACTCACTTGTCTCAACAACAGAAATTTTGGACTCAACTGTCATCATAAATCAAGGATCCATTTTAATTCTGTCCATTGAAGGCAATAGTCTTAACATTGGGACAAAATGTCCATATTTGTGTTGTTGTCTAGGTTGTTTCATATAACCTAAAACAGAATAAGGAGAGGTTCCATGAGTAAGAACTGTGTATCTGAAAACTTTCAATTATTTTAGCTTGTGTTATAAGAACAGACACTGACAATCAAAGGCTTTGACAGATTTAAGTAGTCAACTTTGGATCTCAAAGAGAGCTCTAGTTCACATCTAATTTTTACCACTGGCTGCCAAAATACATCCACGGAATTCCCAGAAACAAGAAATAACAACATGGTGAGGCTTATATGGTGCAGAGGAATCCCTGTTTCACAGATGGGAAATAGAATTTTTAATCAAGCTTGGAAGATAAATTGTACAAAAGGTGTTCTGAGCTGGCATCTGTTAGACCAGGGGTCTGCAACCTTAAACACTCGAAGAACCATTTGGACCTGTTTCCCACAGAAAAGAAAACACAGGGAGCCACAAAACCTGGGTGGGAGCGGCCAACTCAATGTCACTCACTTCCACCAGTCACATGACGCCTACCCAGCTGGTCATTAGGGCAGAGAACCAGTTGTTAAAAAACACTGGAAACCACAAAACCCTTTTGACATCTCTTTCTCTCTCCCTGCCCCCTCCCTCCCCTCCTCTCTTTCCCTCTTTCCCCCCCTCTCTCGGTATCTCTCTATGTTTCTCTCTCTCTCCCTCTCTCTGTATCTCTCTGTCTCTGCCCTGGCTGCTTCTCCATCCCCCACCATTGCCCTTACCTTCTCAGGCCAGGCAAGGAGTGACTGGGAGGGGAGGGCGAGGGGCGGGGGGCGGGGCCAACCAGTGGTGGGATCACCTGACAGGGATTCACAGCAGAGGGCACAAAGAGCCACATGGGCTCTGGAGCCGCAGGTTGCTGACACCTGTGTTAGACCAATGCCCTCTTGTTACAAATGCCTCATGTCTGGTTAGCTTTTCCATTGGTCTGTATCCTTCCTTGGAGTATTTGATAGAAGGATACATTTTTATTTAAATATATTATTTAAATTATTTATTTTAAATATATTATTTATTATTTAAATTGTTTATTTAAATATATTGGTCCTTCTTTTGGATTTAGGGAGACTGTGTCAGCACTGACCTAAAAGATAGTTTTTCTCATTTTTTTTCTGTGATCACCATAAATAGAAGAAAAAACCCTTTGGAATGATTTCATTCTTAGTTCTTGAGTATGGTTGCCATGCCACCAACCACTGAGAGGTGTAGAAATAATCCTTCACAAGAAAAGATGTTTTTGGCTACTTTCTATGGTTTCATGAGGTGTTCCCACGAAACTTCTCTTTTTTTTGTTTCCATCAGTTGTCCCATGATATCAATTCTGTTTCTCAGGACTAGTTTTCTGGTATTTTCCCTTATGAGTAAAAACACATAAGCTTCCCTATGAACATAAGCAGAAAGTTGTATAAAAGGAGAGTTCAGGAATAGAGAGCACCAAACAAAAGAGGCAGCGTTTTCAACACTCCTGAGTCTGCTCTTCAACTCTGCTCATCATGAAGATCTCGGTGGTAGCCTTCATGTTTCTCTTTCTTGTGGCCTCCATCTCTCTGCCTGTAACTGATGTAAGTGAGTTAACTTAGAGCTAAATGAATTTCAGTCTGAACCTAACAAATGTATAATTGTGGATGATGTATTTGATAAGATAGCATGTGAGGAGGGATATTAATTGAAAGCAACACAGTTCTTCAGGAATATGTCTGAAAGTAACATAGAAACATCTTTAAATGATTAGACAGCTATTGTGTATCTTCAAAATAGTGACGTTTTAAAAGGTGCTAGTTCATTTCAAATAGAAATCACCCAGTGGTTAGGAATCTCAGTTTGGTATACTCTGAATTAATAGATTCTACAATCAGAATCACTAGATGTATTTAAAAATAGAAACATTAGCTAGAGTTTTCATCAAGGAGAATGATGTTCTCATCATTGATTATAGGCTAAAAGCCATTGATGTCTGTCTGTTTGTCTATCTATCTATATCTATCATATGCCTGTCTGTCTGTCTGTCTGTCTGTTTATCTATCTTTTATCTCTAATCTGTCTATCTGTCTGTATCTGTATCTCTCTATCTCTATGTCTGTCTGTCTGTCTATCTATCTCTATCATCTGTCTGTCTGTCTGTAACTCTATCTCTATCTCTCTATATCTATATCTATGTCTGTCTGTCTTCTGCCTGTGTATCTATCTATCTATCTATCTATCTATCTATCTATCTATCTATCTATCATCTATCTATCTATCTATCTATCTATCTATCTATCTATCTCTGTCTGCCTATATCATCTAGCTAATCAAACTTAACAATCCATCTCCCTCGTAGAGGAGCTCTGGGTGGTGATGATTAAATCAGATGTCCCCATCTGATGGGAACAACAGCTGTCTCATATGCAGTTCTTGAAATCTGTTTAAATATGCTATACTGATCACATGTCCCCTCTTGCCACCCTAATAGGTGTCACTTGGCTAGAAGACAAAATTCTAGGGATAAAGAACACCACAAAGTAGGAGGAGTAGAGTGAGTAAATCCTGTTAGAAGATCAATGAATCTATTTTAAGTCATTAAACCAGGTGTCAAAACAAATAACTAGAAGACAAAAAATAAAGGAAACAAATCATATTTCCCAACCCTGTTCCAGCCTTGTGATGTTAGATGATTATGGAAGGTTCCAATGGTGCTGTGAGATTTAAATGTGTTCAGTGAGATGATGAATGGTCAACCTCAGGAAACAGGGGTCTCAAAGTCCTTGTATAGAAAAGGCTGATATTTTATAATTGAGCAAAGCTAAATATTGACACCTTTAACATCTCTTACAGTGGGCTTTGAGTCAACCATCTGCTGCCTAAGTTACACCGCGAAAAAAATTCCGAAGTTTCGCGTGAAAAGTTTTTTCTCCACCAGTGGGACATGCAGACGGCCAGCTCTAGTGTAAGTCGGGGAATTGGACAAAAGCTTAAGAAATGGTTGTCCTTTGCACTTCCTTTTATGAATTAAAGTCTAAAAGCATAGGCATAAGGAATAGAATGCTGAATGTACAGTAGAGAGATACTCTGCCTGTGTAAGGATTTAAACTTCTGAAGGTGTGCATACCCTACTGCAGTGTTTCCCAACCTTGGTGACTTTACGATATGTGAACTTCAACTCCCAGAATTCCCCAGCGAGCATGGCTGAATGAGAAATTGTGGGAGTTGAAGTCCATACATTTTAAAGTTCCAAGCAGTAGTGGGATTCAAAATTTTTGATTACCGGGGTCTGTGGGCATGGCTTGGTGGGTGTGGCATAGCTTGGTGGGAGTGGCAGGGGAAGGATACTGTAAAATCTCCATTCCTACCCCACTCCAGGGGAAGGATACTGTAAAATCTCCATTCCCACCCCACTCCTGGGGTGGGGAGGCAAAATCCCCATTGCCTCCCCACCCCACTAACCTGCTTTCCAGCTCTGTTCTCCTGTGCAGGGCAACAAAAGAAGAACCAGCAGATCAGCTGGGACTCGTGAGGCAGCAAATAGATGGGGGCGGGGCCAGTCAGAGGTGGTATTTGCCGGTTCTCCAAACTACTCAAAATTTCCACTACCAGTTCTCCAGAACTGGTCAGAACCTACTGAAACCCACCTCTGGTTCCAAGGTTGAGGAATACTGCCCTACTGTAGTATGGTATTGTAGGAAGTTAGAACTCACTCCTTTCCTAGAAGAATGAAATATTTTAGGAAATATTAAAAAGGCAGAATATTATATTTCCCTGGTTGAGAAATGGAGAAACATGTTTTAAAGACAAAGCATCTCCCACCTTCCTGCCCCCCCACCCTTTGTCAATGGACCATCATCTGCAACACAATAGGACCCATCTAGCAACAGAAACTCACCACATGGCACCTGGGAAGATTACATCAACTAGCAAGGCTAGCTAAGACCCCCACCCCCTGGGAGTCTGACAACCAATCAGGATACTCTTTCAGGGCTCCAGGAAGTTCAAAGCCAGAGAGGGCATAAAACCCGGGGACTCGCTGCATCTCGGCCCTTTTCTGTTCAGGAACTCAAACCATGTGATCCTGTCCACCATTAAACCATCTTTCCAAGCAATCTCCATGTTTCCAGTTGTCTTTTTCCCCACTTGGAGCTGAACCCAGAAGGATAATTCTTCTAACAGTATTATAAAATCCATTCATTACTCTGTAGCTAATAAATATGGTATCACTTAGTTTTCAGCATGCTTTTCTAAACCCAGCCAATTGGTGGTGTTATTTTTTTGAACAAACTATATATTTAAACAAATTGTAGCTCAGTATGCTATGTGAACCCAGCTGGTGAAAATATAGCTTAAATTGTAAAAAAATTATCTTACTTTCCGATAGGTTTATGCTAAGGAATGGTACGCCAGCCTGTGTTAACCCAGGAGAAAAATGGGTCATGGATATTGTGACATCTCTCAAAGAAAAATGAAGATCCTAACTGCTGAGCTTCTGCCATATTGCCATATATTGAGGTTAACAGAGAAATTCCATCTGGGAAACAGCTACATTAGAAGCTCAACTGTGCCTTCATCACTCTCCCCATATATTCTGGCAATTTGGTGGCTGAACAGAGTCCCTGCCAGAAGATTCCAAGGTTAGAAGGCAGGAATCCCCTGGATAATCATGCTGTGGACTTCTAGCCTCAGTTCTTGAAGGGCCTCCTTTCTCAGCTAAATCTTCCAACTTCAGATTCTATTGTTCCCAAAATTAATTTGAAAATTACTCTGCTTTATCCTGATGTGGCTGAAGACCAGGCATATGGTTCACCTAAAATGTTTGAAAGCTATACCCTTAAATGTAAAGAGCCCACCCCTCCCGTTCTTAAAAATCATCTCACTTTGAGTTCTAATGGTGCTGCTAAATTGAATGTGTTATTTAACTACTGAAATTTACTGTACATCAGTTCAGGACTATACTATACTAAATAGAAAGTCCCAGAGCACCTCTCCAAACTGCAACTCCCAGAATGCTGTGTGGGATATCATGAAAAGAAAGATGGAAATTTAAGTTTGTTATAGAGATTTCATTAAACGTAGATTGAAACTGAAAGCAGGGAATTCACAAGCTAGAGGCTTCAGTGTTTGTGAAAACTATTTTTGAATCCTGCTCTGCACCCATTTGTTTGTGTTTATTTATATACTGATGTCAGGGGCATTTCACATCCTTATCTGAAACTGAATATGTGATATTTCTATTTCTATTGTGTTTGTATTGATACATAGTTGTTAAAAGCTATGTTCATAACAGTATTTATTTGTCTCCATATCCCAGGAAGATGTTTCTTGATACTTTCAAAAATAAAAATGAAATTTAATTCAGTTTTGTCCCCGTCTCTTTTGCTGAGTTTGTCTCTATACCGTGAGTCCCAAAATAATATGGTTTGCATCCTATGAACAAGTGCAGGGAAGGGAATTGGTCCAATGCTATAAAATTAGACATGGGGCAAGGATGAAATCCAGCAGGTTCTGGAGAACTGGTAGTGGAAATTTTGAGCAGTTTGGAGAACCGGCATATACCACCTCTGGCTGGCCCCAGAGTGGGGTGGGAATGGGGATTTTGCAGTATCCTTCCCCCAGGAGTGGGGAGCGAATGGGGATTTTGCAGTATCCTTCCCCTGCCATGCGCACCAAGCCACGCCCACCACACCACACCACGCCCACCAAGCCACGCCCATAGAACCAGTAGTAAAAAATTTGGATTTCACCATTGACATGGGGTAGAACAACAAATGCAATTGCAGGTTCAAATTCAATGTCAGAGTTTCTTTTTTTTTTTTTTTATTGCAAAAGTTTTACAATTACATTTTCACCCCTTTTTTCACCCCCCCACCTCCCTCCCCAAACTTCCCGTCCTCCCTAACCCTCCCTAACCCTCCCCCCCAGACTTCCCTATTATGTACTCATAACTAATAACACTGATATATAAACCTGAACCCATCCCTCCCCCTATATAATTTTTCCTCTTTGTCTCTTTACATTAAGATATTTCTAATACATTATTTTCAAATAAAAGCTATTTGATACTTTCTAGTTTGGTATTTGTTCTGAACATATTCTATCCACCTTTTCCATTCCCATTCATAAGTCTCTTGTGAACAATCTTTTAAATATGCTGAGATCTTCGCCATCTCTGCAAAACTTGCCATCTTCAAAGTCCATTCCTCGATAGTAGGCAAAACTTCATTCTTCCAATATTTACCTATCAACAATCTTGCTGCTGTTATCATATACAATATTAGTTTTATTTCACCCCGTGTAAAACCCTTAACTATACCCAATAAAAACAATTGTGGAGAAAATTGAATTTTTTTCTTCAAAACATTCTGCATGACCCACCATATTTTTATCCAAAAAGCCTTAACTTTCCTACAGGTCCACCAAACATGATAATACGTAGCATCCAAACATTCGCATCTCCAACATTTTGGCTGAACATTAGGGTACATACATGACAACTTTTTAGGATCTAAATGCCATCTATAAAACATTTTATAAAAATTTTCCCTCAGATTCTGCGACTGTGTAAATTTAACATTCTGAACCCAAATTTTTTCCCATGTTTCCAACATCACTGGTTCTTCAAAATTTTGTGCCCACTTAATCATACAATCTTTAACTAATTCAGTTTCTGAATCCCTTTCTAGCAAAACATTATAAAGCCTTTTAATATGCATTGGACCTTTCTCTCTTATATGTCTAACCAATTCTTCCTCATGCAACATAATACCAGTTTTTTGGTCCTCTTTCCATCTCAATTGTAATTGATTATATTGTAACCAGGTTAAATTAATCCCTTCGTCCAACAGTGTCTGCAATGTCTTCAGCTGCCATCTGCCCGCATCTGTAAAAAGAACCTCTTTGTATAAAAACCCCCCGAGTGACATTATATTTGTATTCCACAAGGTATGACCAAGATCCAGCCATAGCGGTATTTTATAATCCCATTTGAGTCGGTGCTTCTTCCAAACTCTCATCAAAGAGTCTCTAAGTATATGACTTTTAAATACTTTATCAACTTTGTCATCATAAAATAGGTAAGCATGCCATCCAAATTCAAGATCAAAACTTTCTGCATTCAATATTCCAGCCTTTTTACTTCCAAACCAATCACTTGTTAAAGTTAAAGCTGCTGCATCATAATATAACTGTAGGTTTGGAAGTTTAAGGCCTCCTCTTTCTGGAACATCTTGCATAATTTTCAATTTCACTCTCGGCTTTTTCTCGTTCCAGACAAACTTATTAAGTCCAGTTTGCCAAACTTTCAGTTGTTTATCACTTTTAAGCACCGGAATCATTTGAAACAAAAACAGAAATCTTGGCAAAATGTTCATCTTAACTACTGCTATTCTTCCAAGTAAAGACAGTTGCAGCTTTTTCCAAGTCTCCATGTCTTTCTGGACCTCTCGCCACAACACCTCATAGTTATTTTGAAACAATTTCATGTTTGATTCTGCAACCTGAACTCCAAGATATTTTACCTTAGGTACAATTTCGAAACCTGCCCTCCTTTCAAGCTCATGTTTACGATCTTGTGTCATATTTTTAACTATCATTTTAGTCTTTTTTGAATTCAGTCTAAAACCTGAAACTCTACCATAGTCTTGTATAATGTCGTTCATCAGGATTGTTGATTCCATTGGTTGTGATAGGGTAACCACCAGATCATCTGCAAATGCCTTTATTCTATAATCCTCTTGCCTTATCATTATGCCTTTCAAAATTTTAGAGTCCCGTATTGTATTTAGCAAGACTTCCAATGTTAAAATAAATAAAAGTGGGGACAACGGACATCCCTGTCTTGTTCCTTTTTCAATTTTAAACTCTGTCGTCAAACTTCCATTAATAATAATCTGTGCTTTTTGCTCTTGATAAATTGCTGAGATCGCCTGTATAAATTGGTCCCCAAAGCCCATCTTTTTTAAAGTCTTTAGTAGAAAATTCCAATCCACTCTATCAAAGGCCTTCTCCGCATCCAAAAAAACCAGCACTGCAGAAATCTGTTTATTCTTATCAAGATATTCCAATAAGTCTATTACTTGCCTTACATTGTCCTTCATATATCTGCCCTCAATAAATCCCGCTTGGTCCGCATGAATCACCTTTTGGATTACTGGCATCAACCTGTTGGCTAATACCTTCGCATAAATTTTATAGTCTGTGTTCAAAAGAGATATTGGTCTGTAGTTCTCTGGTTTTTTTAGGACCAACTTGTTCTTTTGGTATCAAAGATATATAAGCAGTTGTCCAAGATGGGGGTATTTTACCCCCTTGTTGAATATTGCAAAATAAATCTCTAAGTTGTCCCACCATTTCAGCTTGTAAAGTTTTGTAATACACTGCAGTCAAACCATCCGTGCCAGGAGCTTTGGCTATTTTTAGCTGTTTTATTGCTGCTGTTATCTCCTCCTCTGTTATAGGATAATTCATTCTTTCCTTTTGTTGATCAGTAATTTTTGTAACTCTCTTATCCTTTAAATATTTTTCTATAAGTCCATTCTGCACCTCTTCTTTGACATATAGTTTAGTATAATAATCCACAAAAGCTTCTTTAATTAGTTTTTGTTGAAAGATTTCTTTCCCTCCAATATCAATACTATCAATAGTCCGTATACTTTGTTTTTTCCTCAATGTGTAAGCCAACCATCTGCCCGGTTTGTTAGCGTTGCAAAATGTATTATGCTTCGCGTATTGTAAGCTTGTTGCAACTTGTTCCGCCATAAGCATTTGAAATTGGTCTTTCAAAAGTTTTATAGCACTTCGTATTCTTTCATCTGTTGGGTTTTTAATAAGTAACTGTTCTTTATTCTTTATTTCCATTTCCAACTCAGATCTTTTCTTTTGTCGGAACAGTCTATGTTTAGAATTCATGTAGATAAGTACCCCTCTCATATAAGCTTTACTTGCGTCCCAAACAATTTCAATTGGGGTACCTTTATTCAAATTTATTTCAAAAAATTCTTTCAAATGCTTTTTAAGTTCTATTGTATTTTTTTCATATCTAAACAAGTTCTCATTTAATCTCCAAGAACGTCTCTCAACCTTATCCATCTCAATTTCTATCCATACAGGGCTATGGTCAGTCAGAGTTCTTGGAAAAATCTTTGTTCTTTTTGTCTTAACAAGTAGATCATTTGACAACAGGATAAAATCAATCCTAGAAAAGGATCTATGTCTATCAGAAAAGAAAGTGTAATCCAATTCATTTGGATTATGTATTCTCCAAACATCTTTTAATTCCATATCTTCTTTCATATCAAAAAAAGTCTGTGGTAGTCTAATTCTAGACTTTGCCAAGCTCTTTTTATCTAGTTTAGAATCAATTACTCCATTCCAGTCTCCCATAATTAAAATAGATCTGTAGTCCCATTGCAATATTTTAGTATGTAACATCTTATAAAAATAATCCTGTTGTTGGTTGGGAGCATAAATTCCAATCAAAAGAATTTGGCCATTTGCTGTGAGCAATTCAATTGCTACAAACCTACCATCTTGATCTGCTTCTATAACTTTCGCTGTTAATTTTTTATTTACATAAATAACCACACCATTCTTTTTCTGCGAAGTTGAAGATATATAATGTGCTCCTAGTTTTGAGTTTATCAAATATTTTTGATCTTGAGTTGTGATATGCGTTTCTTGTAAACATATTATATCATTATTAAATTGTTTCAAATATGTAAATAATTTCTTCCTTTTCTGTGCTGAATTCAACCCACTGACATTCCAAGATAGACACTTAAAGGTCATCAGCCTCTTTCTGGAGCGCAGAGCAAAATATTTGAAGTTCATCCGAGAGCTTCGATCTCGCTCCTCCCATAGCTCCACTCTCTTGTACGGTACTCTTAACTGCCTTCTTGTCTTGTCTTTCCTGTTGTTGTTGTTGCTTTTGTTTAAATAGCTTGGATTGAGCTCTAGTTATACGTTGATCTTTAACTTCAGTCAACTGAATCAAATCCAAAATTGGAGAAGAATCCAACAAGGGCTCACTCAGAAAACCTCCTTCTGCACCTTGCACGTTTTCTAATTCCTGCTTAGACTGTTCTTTCAATTGCCTCTCTTCACTCTCCTTAATCTCCAAAACTGTAGATGTACGTGGAGATGGTGTTCTTTCCTTAAGAATAGTACTGTAAAAGTGTTGTGCCTTCTCCACGGTAATGTCAGAGTTTCTTTTAGCCAAAACATTACCTGGAAATGTTCAGTGGGAGTGAACAAGATTCTTACGTTGTCATCAGTGATAACTAAGAAGAATCCCGTTGTTTCTGGTTCCATCTGTTGCCCACCATAAAATATTCTGACTCTTCACTGACTTCTGACTCTCT